TGTGCGTGATACGGGATGATGTGAGTTGAGAAGTTTCCCAATCCACCTGAAGCGACAGAGCTATTTAATATCAGAGACGGTCTCTCTTATAAGAAATGTAGAGTCACTGTTTTATGCTAGAGCTTCCCGCCTAAGGACAAGTCTCCTTGGCCTTTCCTAAGCTTCGGAAACATGCTTCTGATACCAGAACTAGAATAATTTGGGTACTTCTCACACAGCTAATCAATATTTACTGGAGAGAAATCTTCACCCACACTCTTCATTACTCTCAGGAATTAAAGAACCTCTGATTCTCTCTCAGACTTTGCCTCTTCAGGCCTCCGAGATGAGAGGTTCACTACTTTTTATATGAAATCCTTCTGCCTCCAAAAGCTTTCAGATTTCATCCTGTGGATAAACCGAAAGAGTTTCCAAGCTGCTTGTATGAAGGTAGCCTTTTGTTGAAGACTTACTTTGGAGTTGGGTGAGTTGGGACTTGTTTTACAGATCGAGCTAAGTACAGTTTGCAATTGTGGATTTCAGATGTAGCATTGCATGATAAGCATTCACTGTAGCATGTGAGAAAATGTTTCTCAATGAAACTAAAAGCTTCACATCTACAATTCAGTTGTTCCTACCTGCTGCCACACTGCCCACTGCTACAGCCCAGGACCCAGACAAGACCTCAAGGACCTTAATCCAGACACACTAGGACCCTAACTCACTGTCAGAGACTTGGAGGCAGAGAAAGGAAAATAAGCGCAACTTGCATGGTATTCCACTCCTGCTCTAAACCCTCCAGTGGGCCCCCACTGCCTGATGTGTGTCACTAGGACCCTTACGATAAGTCCTGGTCTGTTACTCCTTCTACCCTACTGGCTCCCTATAGGTACTCTGCATTCTGCAACAACCAGACTGTTCTATGCTCCCTGAAGAGTCCGATCTTGTAATCACCTCCACAACTCTGCACAAAGTATTTCTCCCTCTGAGGTGCTCCAACCCTCACCTTCCCCATCACATCCCATCCTAAGCGCCACTTCTTCTTTAGGGCCTTTCTTGATTTTTCTTCCAACCTTCCAGACCACTTCCAGCTGGATGTGGCCTCAACTGCCATGAAACTATGACACTTTCATAAATCACCCATGGTAATTATTTTCTAAAAGCATGGAAATCAGTTGAGAACCTTTTTTCTTGCCCTCAACCAACATAAGCTGAGTATCTATGGGTGTCCTATGCTGTGTTGGGTGCCTGGGACACAACAATGAATAAAGCCAAGGTTCTTGCCCTCAATGGGCTTGCAGACTAGGGCATAAGACAATGCTGTGACAGAGGGTTATACCTGGTGCATGGAAACCCAACAAGTGGAGAACTTACTAAGGAATATAGAAGAGATTATGGCACTTAAATGGAGTCTTGATGAAAAATCTGTTCCTTGAACAAAAACTGGAGAGTAAAGCAGGGTTCTTCTGAGTAAAAAGAACATTAGATGCAACAGTGCTTGGTTCAGGGATAGACACTCAATATTTATTAAACGAATAAGGCAAACGCTGGAAGAGTCCAGCATCGAATTAGCCCTCTCCTCCCTACTGCCTTTTACATTGACCTCCAGTGCCTCCATGATTTCCATCCCTCACACCAACCTGTAAGTTAGGCATCCTCATCCTCACCTTGCAGATGAGGAAACTGAGGTTCCCGAGGCCCAGCACCACAAAAGCTCAGCCATTGGTCCTGATAAGACAGAGTGCTGGGAACCAGCAGTTAGCGTAATGGCTGTGTAGCTGGACTCCCACATAGTCGACCGCGGTTCGCGTCCTGGACCCGGCAGCTTAAAACTCACACCGAGGGCATGTGCGTGCATACCCAAGATTCCCAGAGGAGAATGGAGGAGAAGGGATTGCAGTGTGACCATTCCTCCTGGGGGGTGATTTCTCGCTTTCTGTCTCTATGTCTCTGTCTGTCTGGCGAGCACACGCGCCCTATAGCAAAAATCCCCCCCCCCAAAAAAAAAAGACAGAGTGCTAACAAATTTAACTGCAAGGAGCGATGTATGGAGCAAATAGCCAGTGTTTTTCCTTTAAGCTTGGATGGACCACTCCCGGCATCCCTCAGAACCTAGCAGGCAGAGTCTGCTGAATTGTACTGGGGCAGAGGAGGGAGAGGCAGCTACCTACGCTCCATGCAGGTTCCAAGAACAGCAGGGTTCTCTCTCTCCCCCTTGGCCTGGTGTTAGTCCTCTCAGGGTAGTCAGTCTTGACGGCCGCGAATGAGGGTCCTTCTTCCTAACTTACATAAAATAACCTAGAGAGAGCCCCTGAAAAGCCACCTAAGTCCAAGTCAGGTTCATAAAAGCTCTCCTAAGGACTCAAAGAACTGAACAGATGCCTGGCTTTCTAGGACAAAGCATTTCGTTTTTGATGGAGTTCTTTTTTCCCTTTTTTCTTTGTCTGATCATTTTCTCAATTTCTCCCTTTCTAGTTCAGGTTTTCTCTGTAATAACTTAGATTGGGCATATGCTTTTCTCCTCCTAGCTGAGACTATTATATCTTGCCATTGTGGTTTTCTTTTTCTATTGAAAGCAATCAAAAATGAAAATCCACATCTCACAACAGTGTCTATTAAATACACACTCTTTTTTCTTTTTTTGTGGATACAAAAAGAAAAGCACTCTCTGAGCGCTGATTCTCAACCCTGCAGTCTCACCTAACGATTAGATATTGGGTGAGACTTCTGCTCCCTTGTAAGCCATTTGCATTTGGTAACTGAGAGTGATGGCACAGAGTCTGGCATCAGAAGCGACTTATTTAAGGAGTACCTCCGTCTAAAGCACTGCTAATCAAAGTGTGGTCCTTGAACCAGTTGCAACTGAGTCCCTTGGAAGCTGATTAGAAATGCAGAATCTCAGGCCCCACCCCAGACCACTGAATCAGAATCTGCCTTTAATAAGATCCCAAGTGATTCCTACACACATTAAAGTTTTACAGGTCTAGAGCTAAGATGAATTTATTTTTGTTGCCATCCTGGAGGCCTCCATGTGGATTTCTTTCCTATGATAGAAAATCAGCTAGTGAATTCCATGGAATGTCCCCCCACACTCCTTCCCCATCCAAACTGTTCATTCATAAAGGAATTCTGAAATGATAAATCTTCTTCTAGAAATCACATTCTCAGCCTGAAGGAGTTCAAGGTGAAACAGGCCGATAGCCTTTCCGCAGCATATGAATACTGAAAAGAAGGAGGTCTGAAACTGAGAGGGGACAGTCAAGCCTTATTCCCACCCACTCCTCCAAAGATCAGAATTTTGTTGCTTGACATAGTCCCCCCTGCCAGGGAAGGGATAAAGGGCATGCTGTGGGCAGCACACGGGTCACAGGTGGGCGATGGAGGGTCCATGCTGTGCACTAAGTACAGGGATCCTGGGGGAAGATGCTCTGTAATCACAAAGGAGCCTTCAAATTCAGGCTGTGCTCAGACCACACACGTCCAATCACAGACACGATATCTGTAGATGGACCGATTACTACTCTGTCATCCACATGGGAAAAATGGACCAAGTGGATGGAAAATGGTATGGACCAAGTTTGAGGAAATAAAAACTAGACCTGGGAAATGACGAGAGAAGGGGTAAGACCAGGGCACCTCAGTGCCAACCTGCCCATCTGTCCCCACCACACCGAAGCTGAGCTAGCATCCAGGGTGGGATACAGTCCCTGAGCAGAGCCAAGAAGGCCACACAATGCCAGGCTGGCCTCACGCTTGACCTTGTCCTCCGCAAAGAGGAAGCCTACCTCAGAGACATTGTTATAAAGCATAGGAGCACCAAAAAAGTTACCCCTTGTTTAAACAAACAACAACAAATCCTGACCCAAAGCAAATGTTTTCCAACTAATTCTGACCAACATGAACATCGCAGTAAACACCTGAATACTCTGGGCAGCTCTTCGATGCTTAGGCAGAACGCTGGTGTTATTGATCACTCTATGCTAAAGCCCAACTTGGCTCTCCCCTCCCCCACTCTTGCTAAATTTTCATTCTTTGTTTTTTTTTTCATCTTCACCTCTGAATTCTCTGAAGCAGCAATATTTTAAAACACGAAAACAGTTTACTCATACCAATCAATACTTGCTTTTCAACCAATTCTAATTTATGTATATATTAACAGTACTATAGCTCTGGAAACATGGTTCGGTCCTCTTCACATATTCACAATCAGGATTCTCTCAAAAATTTGGAATGGATAGGAATGATGGACAGTAATGGACAGTGGAGGCAGAGACTCCCAAGCTCTGAAATTCACCCAGGAATTCCATCTGCCTTTCTCTACCACAAGCGGAAGAGAGCCCCTCCCCCACAGAACCAACTATGTTATATCAATAGGTCAGCTGCCTATGGAGATGGAGGGTGTCAATCATATTGAAGCTAACTCCACTTGACTCCATTCTCCATGTAAATCGGACCTGGATAAACCAAGCAGTCTTCCAGAAATGCACCTGAAGGAAAACCTCTGCATTCCTCCCTGCCCCCCAACACGCACAGACTTGGATGAACACATCACCTCTCAAGGAAAGTTAACTTTCAAATAACCCTGTGCTGTAGCCAGTCTGGCCATGTTTTCAGAACCTTTACATTCTCAAAGGGGGTTCTTGAGACTTGCTTGAAAACCAGAGGCTGAAATCTCACCTCTGTCTGTTGAGGGCATGCACCTGGCTGGGTCAGAGGTCTCCAAATACACCACCTTTCTATTTCCCTCTTTCCTGGCCAAAGAGAGACTAGTGAGGCAGGCTTTATTGTCTTTCCAGCCAGGCTGGCAGCCTGGGAAGCTTCAGACAGAAGGTGGGTGTGTGATCCATACAGGCTCCATAGAGGAATTTTCTGGGAACTCCAGGGGCTTTGAAGGGGGCGGGGGGGGGTGTTAAGGGGAGGTCTTAAGCTAGGATGCACTGGTGCCCTTGAGTTCTCTGGTACCCCTGAAGTCTGGGTGTAGGCGGTTGGGGGCAGGGCTGGCCTGCCAACCACGCCCGCCCCGCCGGGTAGCTGGGCAGGGCCGAAGCACAGCGCCAGCTGAAACCACAGGATCACGGCCAAGAGTCTCTGGGGGGACTGAGGCTGCTGCTGCTGCTGCTCTAGAAATCCATCTCCATTGCTCGGGTTCATTCCATGATACATCTTTCATCCACAGAGGGCATCCAGCTTGCCAGAGTCTGCAACCGGGAGTGGAACACGAAGGTACCCCAGGCTGCCCGGGTTCGGGGGCCGCGCTCCCCCACCTTCGCCCTGGGACGCAGCGCCTCGGCTTTCCCAGCTCCATCCCGGTTCCTCCCCCGCACGGCCCCGGCCCCCTTTCCCAGAGAGAGATCCCCCCCTGCCCCCACACGGGGGACACTAACAGCCGCCGTGGGATGCTGCGCGGGGGGAAGGGGGCGAAGGGGGGAGGGCAGGGGTTAGCGCACATTGGCTCGGCGCCGGTCCCTGGGATTCGGTGGCTGTGACCATGACAGGAAAGTCTAAAGCCTCGCAGCGTCTCGGGGCTGAGAAAACACTTTTCCTTGGGCCTAAGCGTTCCACTCTTAGGAATCTCGCAATGAGCCACCGGCTCCTCCGGCTACTCCTCTGGTTTTCCCGGGATCGGGATGGGTTCTTCTGCCCCAGTCCCCAATGAGAGATTTCTCTGCGCTGTCAAAAAATTCCTCCCTCGGGGAGCAGAGCCGGGCACCAACTCCCCCCCAACCTGCGCGCGCCGCCCCCGGGATGGCGAGCCCCTTCCGGGCTGGGTCTTACCTGTGGGGCTCATGCATGCAGCTTCCTTCCCTCCTCCGCCTCCTCCCCCCGCCAGCCTAACCCGCATCTGTGCGCGACCTCTGCTGCCG